TCATAAATGGTTTAAATTTGCAAAAAGGTTATTCAAAATGTGGACGATACATCATCAATTTTCACATGAAATCTGCTGAATTGTTATGACCCTAGAGAGAATATTGTTCTATTTTATTTATATCTTATATAAAGCTCTCTTTGAAGGTTTTCAGTGCTTAAATATTTACCTTGCACCTTTCATTTATAAATGAAAAAATTGCAAAGCAAGATGGTAAAGAATGTCATCAGAGAAAATATGTTTTAAGCCGAATAAAATAAATTGGCCATTGAGATTTATCTTTATGACATGCTGACACCTCTGGTTTGTCCAAAGCATAAATGGACTCCAGAAATCTCTGACCATATCACATTTCCCAAATATTGTTGAATAGTTTTTATCAGAACCACAAAAGGGTTACACTGATCACGTACAAATTTGTTTATCATATGCAAAAACTATTGGTGGTCAGTCCTCGATGCAGAATCCGGTATTAAAACCATCTGAGTTGTGTGTCCTTTTGTTATTTTAAAAGGTCTAAGGAATATTCTAGGTCAGATGAGATCTTGGTTGGAAAATTGTGATTCCCACTTGGTCATAGCTTTCCACTTGTCATTTATAGATGTGAGTGTGAAATAATACAACTTTGAACTTTATAATTCTTGTTTGAAAGCTTCGCACCAATGACACCATTTTTTCTCTCTTAATATTTGCTAATTTACATATTCTTTAACTGATGATACAATGCTAATGTACTCCATAACGTTAGGTCTGGACTCAGGAGGTCTTAATGTAAAAAATTCTTTAAAGTAAACAAAATTGCCATTAACATCAATAAGGTTGCCAATTTGTGACTTTCCAAGGTCCAACCAATGCTCCCATTTGACTGTTGTGTTTCCTAATTTGATGTTTTTATTAAAGAAGAGGGGTTCACAAATGAAATCGTTGAAAGATATAATTTCTGTTCTTTCTGAGAATTTTAGGTATGCCTGTAAGCAATGTTTCCAGAAAATTTTATGGATCTTTAGGGGCTTTATAAACGCATTTCCAAATTTATCAATGTTTTGGAGTTCTGGATTAGTATATAATACAATATCCTTCCACATACTCACAATTTCAGAATAGAACAGTTTACGAATGCATGATATTTTCAGAGACTTCACAAAATTAATAAATATCTATCATATCCAAACCTCCATTTCTGATGGCTTTACAAACACAGCGTCGACTGCTTTATCGGGTTTTTTATTCCACAAAGAGCTAAAAAATATCTTGTTTAAGCCTTTCATAAACTGCTCTGATGGATCAGGTAGTGTGAGAAAGAGATAGTTCAATTTGGACACAAGGAGGGATTTGATAATGGCTATCTTGCCCAGAGGGGTTATTACTCTTTTTTTCATTCATTTATTTAATTTGTTTAATTTTGTTGAAGTATTACAGAATAGTTCAGTTGTTCCATTTCATTCAAATTTGTTGAAAAAATATACCTGACACTCTGAGAGTGTTGGGATTCCATCTTAAGTTAGGGTCAGGTCTGTATTTGACATTACTACTTATCTTTGAGCCAATCCACACTACTTCTGACTTCTCATAATTTAGTTTTCAGCCTGAAATCCTAGCAAAGGTGTCTAAATATTGAATCACATTTTCAAATGATGTTTTACTTTCATCCAGAATAACTCAGTATCGTCAGCATATTGTTCAAGCGTCGTGTTCTTTATCATTTTTAACAATTCCCCTAATGTCTCTGTTTTTCTTTTCAATAATAGAAAGTGTTTTTTTCTTCATTTCATTTTGTTTGGGTGTGAGTATGATTTGACATCAGGCTTCTACCATAAGATGTCATTGTTGCGGCCTCGTAGGTGTAAGGCTTCGAGAATTTGTTTTTGAAGAAACGCCCATATGTCTGACGGATATTGAAGGAATCTAATAACGAAGACCGGAAACATAGCATGAATCAAATGTGTGCCATATATTACGTAATTATTTATGATTTACCTCAACTTTCTAATATCCACACAAACACGTTTAGTGTTTTGTTTTTTGGCATGTATCGTTTGGTCAATTATCACCTGAGGCAATAAAACAAGCATTGTCACTAAGGTGACATATACCCCCGACTTTTCTGCCAACCCACTGCATGCAGCTCAGTTCTAATTGTCTCCTTACAGACAGCCACAGTTCCTCTATCAATCATATCCAGCCTTAAGTTTTCTAAACTCCTTCGTTTGTTTTTAGAAACAAGAATACCAAGCCGCCTCCTGTCACCGACAGTCAATTTTCTGGGCCTACCTGTGCCTCCCTGGTGCTCAATGCCATATCCATTTGCAATATTTTTCAAAACACGATAAACAGTGGACAAAGGGATGCCTGTTCTACTTAAAATCACTTTAGCTAATCTGATGTCCTTGTTATAATACTCTAAAATCAACTTCCTCTTCTCTAAATCATCCATACTGAGGATCACTGAAAATGTCGTCTACTAGCAAGTAAACAAAGGGGGATAACTCCTCACAATCTAATGAAAAAGGATTAACGGAGTTGTCTCTCTTAAATGAAACCAAACACTTGATAGCTATTCCTAAAATTCTCAATAATTTCTGGTCATACTATATTTCACAAGACGTGAAGCCAACATAGTGAAAGGATTCAAATGTAAATATGCTGATTGGTTGCTATTTGATTAGTTGATTGACAGAGTCTATAGCATGGTTAACTCTTCGTCGGCCGATGTTACACTGTCGCCGCGATCTCTTTTCCTGGCCATAGGGAAATTGAGGTATATGCAAAAAAATAAGAAGTTGTCACTCATAAAGTCGTATGCTTCGTTATTTATTTACTGACGTTTGTGTCCCATTTTTTATTCGTTTCATCAGAGAATCCGAACATTTATATACCCAGTCATATTCAGAGAATGTTATGTAAGGACAAACGTCTTCTGATAATCAAATCAGTTTCTCATACTGGCTCTGATGGACACGTGGTACATTAACTTTAGGATCAAAGATGTGTCTTGTTACCAGTGTATTTTAAAGCGATTACTGTATTATTTACAATTTCACTTACTATGTTTTTCATCAGATGTTTTATTTATTGCTCGTAAACTTAACACAATTGACAAATACTCTAAAATACACTATTCTTACCTTAAAATTATTAATGTAATTTGAAATTGTACATATTGTAAATGCCCAAATAATTGCGCATCGATTGATTAGCCAGTATATTGACAGTGGCCCTGGCAGTGCATACAACAGACCAGCCCAAAAAATACTACTGTTCCGTTTTAACTTCGGCAGTCAATGCTCCAATTTCCCCTCTTCTGGCGGCCATTATGCCATGGCCGTCTTAAACACGACTCCGCGCTCAAGAGCAATGGTCTCTACCTGTGGTGCGAGGTGGGGTAAATGAGTGAGTGAGTTAAAATTTATAGTCACATCGGCAATATTCCAGCCATATTGTGACTTAAAAAGTTAAATAAATTAACAATAAACACAATTACATTATAAAACACCTGTCGACGAAGGACAGTAAAACAACTAGATTATCACAGGAATAAATTTAAGACTAGTAATTAAATCTAAAATATTTTACCTATAAATGACAATACAATATAAAAACCGGCTATAGATTGCCAACAACTGAAGCTAGATCACCATACTAGGGACCATGGGGACTTATAGTACATTTGCTTCCTGCATGGGCCCTAGCTGGATTTACATAATCCCTTCAGCTGTCAGCAATTTAGATACATCTAGCCATACATTAAAATTACACATATTCTACGATTAAAAAAATGGAAAGTTTAAATTTACCTTGGATGTTTTGGGACTTACGTACCCTCTCGGGAGGACAATAATTTTACAGTACTTTAACGCGAGGGGAGGAAAAAGGGTTTGAGAACTCACTGCCTAAAGTTGTGAAACAGCTATGCTATCATTCATGAGGTAACTGTGAAAGTTACAACACCTCGCAACAAACAGTATTAATATTGTGATTGTTAATACTGGAAGAGAGATATCCTACTGACATCATGGAGAATTCTAAACCTGAGTGAGCTGTACATGTCGTCACACTAGAGGGCACCAACGCAAGCAGAATCCACGAGTGCAGTCCTGACCAGGCACCCAGTGATCATAACCTGTTTTGAAATTTGAGGTTTCACTTGCGTGGAAAACGATTTGCCAATGATGAACTCAAGGCTACAACAGAAGCTTGGTCTAGGGACCAGTCAAAAGACTTCTATTTCCAGGGCATTGCCAGCTTGCAGCACAAATGGATAAAGTGCAATGAGATGAGGGGAGACTTTAGTGAAAAATAAAAGTTCGTAACCTGCTCTGACTGTTAATTGTAGATCAAGTTCTTAAAATTTCCCCCGCCGTGATATTGCTACGGCGTAAAACTAAACTCAGTCAGTCAGTCAGGTTAATTATTCAAGTTCTCAAAACCTTTTGACCTCCCCTCGCAAGGCAATTATTAAAACCCTCTCCCTCATGTGTTTCCTCCTCCAGTAACCGACGCTCATTAATCAAATGTAGCTCTTCCCAGCGTCACGGCCTTGGAACTGACACAAAATGACCGAAGCCATCATGCAACGCGTGGCCAAATGGTTCCACATGAGTGACCAACGCGACTCACACGGGTGTGCGTTCCGCGTAGTAGTGTAACCTATAGTTTGCCTTACACACCAAATGAAACCTACTTTGGTGGATAACGGAATGGTTATCTAGCATAACTAAGACACTCCAGGAATCGTCGTTAAAAGTCCACACTCAATCCTTCGAAATAATTCCACAGGTAAGTTGTTACTACTTTTAACCAATCTGTTTTCTCGTACCTGACTTGATCATCTCGGAAATGTTATCAAGGAGGGACTGTCTGTAGAACACGTGACCTCTGACATCAGAACATGTACATTGGATACGTAATTTGTCACGTGACAAAATGATACTTATATATATGTATGTTCAGACAGTTAGATATACATAGATAGACATACACTTCAGGTTCATCCATGAATTTTGCCAACCTGACAAAGGTGAGTTGCTGACATTCTTTAAAAAACGTCTGTCTCCAATTTCTAAATGTTTTATGCAAGCATCACGATTTTCAATGTCTGGCTTCTTCTGCACGTTTCCCATTGTTTGAAATGTCACTTTTACTGACAGCATATTAACACGTAAACCTCCTACCATAGTTTGTGTAAAGTACACCTAACAATTAAAATGCCTTCAATTCGATAACATCCCAGCAAATCTGTATCAGCACTTTGCACTCATTTCCTACGGGCATTTCGTCTTTGAGATAGCGAGAGTTTAAATATTGGGTTTCAAATATAGAGCTATGTACCTGTCGCTATGTCCAAAGAACCAACCGCACATCAAGAGAGTTCCTGTTAAAGGGAGATTCTGCTGTATTTCGTACATCATGTCAATTTACTGTGTATTTACTGTGTAAATATTGCAAAAAACAAAACAAAACTAAGACAGTGTCCCTGGCTCTTAGGTAAGAATATTACCATTAAAGGCCAAATTGATATACATGAAACGATTTTAACCAGCAGACAAACCGGTGTCTTAAATCAAAGTAGCTGGGGCTGAGATTTAGCCAGAGGTAAGTCAACGTTTAATGGTGTCTTATGTTTTTTTCGCCCTTTAACAATGGTGTTGGTGACGGTAATGAAGAAACTTGCATGGATCGAGTCAAATGTACAGTGGCCAGCCATGCACGTTGGAAGGTTGTCTTTGTGTGTTTCTACATAGCAAACCGCTATTAGCATACCTCTGAACTACAGAAACATTAAAATACGGCTGCGTGTCTTAAAACGCAAATAAGAAAATATCTAAAAGTCCAATGAGAATGTCAGAAAAAAATCGTATCGCATTTGTGATTTAACACTGAATTTTTGACTTACCACCAATTTTTGGTACTTATAAAAATCACCAGTGTGACAAAAATATGGAATGCTGTGTTTCCTGGGCTAGGTTTCCAGTAGATGTAGCCGAAATAAATTTGGAATGGAACACGCAGGAGATTCTATTTCGCGACGTTTCGATGAGGTCATACAGTGGCGGTCGTAGTACATTCGGGACAACAAAAGAACAAATTTCACAAGCTGTTCCATATATAAGTGACACTTTGGAATTTATCTTTATGATATTATTGTAAGTGTTAAACACCCAACGTTGTTCTATTGGAAAGATCAAGTATTATTCATGTTGCCACTATCCCTCCCTGGCCTTTGACTTGTAACATATAAGTTCACAGAGTTCATCGCTATATGGCTGTATTATTGCCGACCCGAAGTACAGTTTTAACTCACTCAGTCACTTAAGTGCACAAATTCCTGATGCAGCTGCCGCCCCCCCAGAGTGTATTTTTACAGATTGTTTTGTATATTGAAGTATTGATATACCACACTTTCGAGTGTCATATATATCCCCACAGCAGCCCTGAAATCCACACCTCTACTTATGAGGCATAGATTGCGAGCAGCCCATCTGACGAATGGTCGGTACCAGAATGATACACCCAATTACATATGATTACAACAACCATTGATAAATTAAATAATAAAATAAGGAATCCATGGCAATGACATAGACTACCCGGAACCCTATAAAATGAAGGCATATTGTGCAATACCTAATGATAATTAACGAACAAAAGACACAATTAGAAAGGATTGCATTCAATCCACATGACTCCAAAATATTGAACAAACCTGCAGATATTATGTATATGATGTCAATTTCACGTACAGTTTCTGGGCTGTCAACTGAATTTGATAATACAACTATTGTATGATGATGTGGTGATGATTTATATGGTGAAGCATGTACAATGTGAATGACACCCCCCCAAATTCTAAGTACAAATATCATGTGCAAAATCAATGACCCCACCCAACCCCGCTAAGCCATAAATTAGGAACGGTCCCTTAGTTACAGGACAATCTCCACAGTTACCGTACGTGCATTCGCGTATAGTAGTAATGGAGTCTATCGTCATAACTCAGTAGCATGTAGCATATCGTTTTAGGGACCGTTTCTATTTTATGTTTGGGGAGGTGGGGTGATGATGATTTTTATAGAGAAGCATGTACAATGTGATTTACCCCCTCAATTACATGTACAAAGTAACTGACTTACCTCCATGTCAGGTACAAATGTGCAAAATCGAAAACGTGCAGTCACCTGTAATAGAGTCTGCAAAATGTTACATAATACTGGGAAGATAAGAGACAGGTTTCATGCCTGTAATGCTGTGATATCTTTGCCCACGTCCACAGATTTTAGGCACGCCACAGGGACGTAACGCTGCACATTCGTCACCACTCACCTCTTTGCGTAACCTCCAAAAAGTCTCGTGTTATTCCGGGATAAGCCACTTGTGCCCCCGTCGAACAACTGAACTACTTTACACAAGAAGGACATCTATATCTCTTCTACATTCCAATTTTACTAAACACAGTGAATTAAATTCACGTTGACAATAACATTAATGCTTAAATATTTCGTGAAACTTTCTTCTACCGTAATCATTCTCGGCCGTTCATCTTGTAATTCACTTTTTATATTTCTACAATTATATTGTTTAACGTATCTATGACTGTTTGGGATAAATTACTTGCTCAAATTTCCCTTACATTGAAGAATCGGAAATGCATAATATTTAGCATGAATATGCAATTTCAGCTGTACTACGTCTGAATACAGGTACACAGTTATAAATACAAGATCAAATATCTTGCCGCAGATCAGGATTGAGCCCGGGTTCTCCGCTTGGAGCACAGCAGCTCTTCTGACACTCTAGATAATTCTGAAATCTGCAGTGTTGGAGAGTCTACGTGTTCTCCGAAATGTTCTTGGTGATCTCGACAAGGCAGCACTTCCTGTGAGAAGACACATTCACTGTCTGGGCTGCAGTTAGAAAGGGACAAAGGCCCTGTGCTGATAATGAGCTAACCCGTGTACCGTTTTGTTTACATGTTTTTCAATCCAAAGGGACTGATATTACCAATATCATTGTGTTTTCTGATGAAAAAGCATATCGACCAAACGTACCGAAACAGGCAGAGATGGTAAAAGGTTCCGTAAATTCATTCCAAGTACAGACGATGCAACGCTTTCATCAATGCCCATGGAGGCCCCACACAAAACAAACTGACTTTGGGGTATCTTTATGGTACCGTTTTGGTGATTTTGTTTGTGTGAACTCTAAATGTGATTCCCGAAATGTGCTAACCATTATGGTCAAGTTTGAACCCAATCCTCTGTTTTGATTGTTAATTAGAGTGAATTAAAGTGTGTGCTTTAATAAAACGCTATCGGTGCGACATTTCTTTTGTGGTTCAGTATATTTTTATATAGCAAATATAGACGACAAGGTCTGAATTGTGAAAACAAGAAGTGTCATTAAAATTGATGCGTTACATACGAATATACATTGTTTTTAAAATGGTGGCTATTTGAATTACTCGATATACATTGATAACGTCTTAGATGAAAAAAAATAATGACCTATGGAAAGCAAAATGAACAGCTAACTCTTGTGAATAAGACGTCGTTGTTTTGAGTCGTTAACTGAATATGAACAAATGCACGTTTCTTGATTTGAACCTCTCATAATGCATGAACCTGTCTGTATAAAATCTACAATTCACACAGGTTATTTCTGGTATGGAGACCCGTGAAGATCCGGGGTAGAATAGGTCTTCAGCAACCCATGCTTGCCACAAAAGGCGACCATGCTTGTCGTAAGATGCGACTAACGGGATCGGGTGGTCAGGCTCGCTGACTTGGTGGACACATGTACTCGGTTCCCAATTGCGCAGATCGATGCTCATGCTGTTGATCACTGGATTGTCTGGTACAGACTTGAGTATGTACAGACCGCCACCATGTAGCTGGAATATAGCTGAGTGCGGCGTAAAACTTAACTCACTCACGCTGTTATGGAAATGTACTTTGTGACGTCAAAAAGACGATATTTATTTTTCTTGATTCTTGTAAAGAATCACATGTTGCCATAATTGATTTATCAAAATATATTACATTCTGATTCGCTAATAGTATTTTCGAGTCTTCTTGGAGGTTACGGAAAGGGGCAAGTGGTGACCAATGGCCTCAGGCGGCTGAGACACACTTTGCTTATAGTGAGTCATCAAAAACGCAGCAGGACCTTACAAAACTTGACTTTGAGGGAAAAAATGGCATAAATCCCACGGCGCACTACATTTCGATGCAACGGGGCTGCTGTGGCCGCCGGGGACAATGTAACCTTGGCATACCACACTGCGTTCCGTCTGTCACAGCTCTCTTATCGGTCCCCTTGTTATCGACGTGGCGTTATGTGCAGGTGCACAGTGAACTTTGAGCGAGGATCACGGGACTCTACTCCTAACATGACAGTGTAGAATATCCAAAGTCCCATCTCTTGTTTAAACAATTACGATAACGCGTATGAAAGCACCCTTTGACATATTTACCTGTAAGCTATATTGCAAGCTTTAAAACGGAGCATATGGATTAAGCAACATGCAATAAGTCAGAAGTTGTTATCCATCAAGTTTTATGTTTTCTTATCGCCTGATCAACTTCTGGAATGCCAATCAGTTGCCGAGTATCGTACACCGCCAATAAACATTCATAAATGATAATGTGTCGGTTCATATAGCAGACAGACAGATATAGTTTATTATAGTGTCACAAGTTAAGTATACATTGTAAAAGCCCATTCAAAATACATAAAGTATACTTCACAACCAGCCAGTTTTTGATAAAAGTGTACACAATAGATGTATAACGCCTTTTGAAACATGCGAATGTCTGTTGCTTTGCATCCAATCTGGCCTTAACAAGTGAATAGAAAGTAAACAAGTGGTCGAAACAGCTTCTCTTCTTACGAAAACCGTTTTGTTCCTCCGCGATATAGTCCTCTGTTTCTAGCCAGCTTGAGAGTCTTTGGTTTAGAATGTTACAATACACTTTACATGGCACAGAGATGAGACTTATTCCTCGGCATGTAGATGGTGTG